TATTAGTATATATACATATATACATATATATATATATATTATATAATATATATTATATAATATATATATATATATATATATATATACGTACCGTGTCAGATTACCTACAATGTATCTCAACCTTGTTGACCTACCGGAACAACTGAGAAATTTTACAGACTAACTCTACCGAAGTATGTGGTGTACCGTACTGGGACACCTCTCATAACACTCGCATACGCACACTCCCCCACTCGCTACAGTCGGTATATGGGTCTCTTGACCACGGAACCAGTTTTAAAAGAAACGGCTTTAACCTTAATAAATTTGATCTGCTGCACAAGATGAGACCTTAAATACACCCATTGACTAACCCACCCCGCTCCCCCACAATCAACCCCCTTTCACCGTAGTCGGTATATGTGTCCTGCGGCGATGCACCTGGCTGTCATTGAGAAATGGGCTGTGCCACAACTGGTTGCCATCGAACCCCCGACGGGATATCAGAGCATGGCCAAATCTGCCCTGTATATCACGCCATATTTCATAGACGTAAGTGAATAGATATGTTGATTAACACCAGCGGCTAGTATATATATATATATTTGTCGAATCCTTGTCGATTTCGCGCTGTGTATCGCTTCCCGTAGTTTGATGTATGTGTGTACCATACGGCGCCATGAAAGGTAAACGACAGTGGCAAATTCCATCCAAATTTGTTGGTAGTGATTTTGGATATATGGCTATATCCAACCAGAGTCGATCGCTTTCCAAAACTACTCCTCAGATCCCCGGAGTACTTCAGGAGTATGACTTGGCCGATCTACTGGCATGCCGACGACCGCAGCCGCTCCTTGTGCTGGGGGCACTGAATGCGCTGGAGAATAAGAATACAGGTATGCTGGTCTACTATGATTGTATATGTTCATTTTATATATGGCTTCAGTCCCTGTATATAAGCTTTTTCATATATATATATGTATGTATGTATGTATGTATGTATATATATATAAATATATATACTTATATATACACACACATACATATATATATATATATATATATATATAGCACACACATACACACACACACACACATACATACATACACACACATACATACACGCACACGCATATATATATATATATGTGTGTGTGTGTGTGTATATATATACATATATATATATATATATATATATGCATAGTTGCGTCGGAATATGCAGTTTCAATCACACAACCTGCAAGTGTTCTGTCTATTTTTTTTGCTCACTTGTAGTCGTAGTGTCTTATCTGTGAAATCGTTCGTCTCTGTGTGTAACTCACGCTTGGTGGCTGACTAAATTGACCTGGGAGAACATGGTAAACATCCACAACTATGGATACCAGTGGACAATCAGATACATACATTTCGCCAGAAGTATGGGCAATGATTTGAGACACACGGCTGTTGTTCCTGATCTTTCTTGATAGTTTAACACACCACCTGAGAGCTGACGGTTTCGTGCCTTCCTTATTCATTTCTATACTCGCGTGCTATATACCACAAGAGCCCTACTCACAGGAGCAGCTGGATCGGTCGTACAAATATGTAGCATTGTCGTACGATGCTCTGAGCGAGGCGAAGCAAACTGCAGTTTCCATCAAACCTACCAACTGCCCTGGCGACACGGTGGTATGTGATGTGTATGAAATCATACCATGTTGTGCCTCTCGTCGCATGTTAAAGCGTAGTAATTTTGATGCGTGCCTGGTACCCGGTTTGTAGAGCTATCTGTTCTTCTGTACCAAATAGTGCACATCATTCCCATCTATATGTATAGTCAACCTTCGCTACATGTACGATAGATTAGTTCACCATCGTGACACCTGAACTTCTTATCGTGACAACTCATCCTTCTATCACAGGGCAAAGGCAAGCCAGCCATGATGAAGAAGAAGGTTGACAGCTCCGACGCAACAACCGAGGATACAAGTGCAGGTATAGTTGTTCCTTGGCATGCGGCAAATATTTGAGTTTACATGTACTGTCCTATGTTGGATATCGGGATCTTAATATGCACCAGTTGTGTAGTTTCGGGGCCTTGTACCGAACTACGGAGCTCTGTGAATGTGGAGCAATATTCTCTAATTAAGGCAGATATGTGCTTTGTTTAGAGCCTGTGTACTTACATGAATGCGCAGTTTCAAGTACACAACCCGCAATTCAGCCAATATTGTCTTGCTCACTTGCGGTCGTAGTTACTTACCTGTGGAATCGTTCTTCTCTGTGTATCTCGCGCATACGTGAGTTGTTTAGGCCCGAGTCTTACCCCTCTAGTCTCACAGAATCCCCCGGCCTGCTATGAGTTGTGTCGTACCTCATTGGTGCAGACCTATTCTCAGTAGCAAACACAGTTTTAGATCTCTTGTCCGTGTAACAGTATCAGCAACCGTTGTAGATCCATAAGGCCATCGTGAGCACTCCAAGCCTAATTTTAATTCAAATTCTAATACACACACTCTCTCTCTGTGTATGCATCACTGCAGGCTACAACCAGCACTTCACGCAGAGCGACTGTGCCACGCAGGTCATAGCACCCACCGTCCTAGATTTCCTGCAGCAACACACCCCTACCGCTACCGACGCGACCACGAGTAATAGTATAGACACCGATAAAACCACAGCCACGTCAGTGTCCAATCAACATGTGCTGAGCTTCTTCCCAGCGCCTGCACCGGAAGATCGCCAGACCACTACCGCTGAGGGCAAGCTACTGGCCATAGTCACAGCCACGCAGACGCAGATGCGTAAGGATGGGGTGAGTGCGAAATCGCACGTGCGAGGAGAGAACGAGACACCCAGAGATGGCCCTGCACGCACAACAGAGCAGCGTTTGGCTGCGGATAGCGCGTCTAAGGAGATAGCAGTTGGTGGCCTGGCTGTAGGGGTGCAGGCGCACAAGGAGGAGGGGTTGAATAGAGGATATACGCGTGATGGTACCGACAAGGGCGCAGATGGAACACGCGACGAAGTGGCAAAGAACGATGTAACGGCTGAAAAGAACGGAGACAACCAGGATGACGGGCAGGGTACAAGTCCGAAAGACGGGGCAGCGGTACATGCTACACCCGAAACAGCAGGACAGGGCCGGGTGGAAGGACAAGATGGGGCAGAGGCGGATACAGAGGGCAGGCTACCAGCGAAGGCTCCGACACTGAATGAAGCTAAAGACGACGACGATGGCGCCAGTGCAAAGAACAGAAAAAATGGGGTGGAGAGAGAAGGCGAGGAGAAGGAATGGGGGGTGACTACGCAGGATGTGCTGAGGCTGAGCATGGTCACCCAGATGGAGACGAACGCGTATGTAAGCATAGCCTTCATGTGCACGGTGATGGTGGCGATCTGCTTCATTGGCTACCATCTCAAGAACTACACCACCAAGGTGTACTCTAGGCGAAGGCGGCCGTACCAGCCAGCCGTGCATGGCAATGTCTGACAAGTGTAAGACTTCAATATCGTACGGCTGCGGGGTGACTCATGTACGACTGTGTCGTATAGACGTACAACTGTGACTGTGTCCATGCTTTAGGGTTTTAGGATTTTACTCACACATCTCCAGGAAACGCCCACCCTTCACCACTTGATTGGCGATTGAACAGCTGGTTAGCCGTGTTTGCTCCACATGGCTAGCACAATAAGGCCTTGCACTACCGCACCTGTTATATAGACAATGGGCTATACCACGAATACGTCAATGTCAGCGCTGTATCGAGCTGCCACAAAGTTTCGCCAGTGTTACTTATGCGCCTCGCAGTGTTTGCCCAAGCGGTGTTCATACAGGCCAGTCTTCGAGGTACAAACAGGAAATCTTTCGCAGGCCTATGTTCAAGATGCAAACAGGTCATCTTTCGCAGACCTGTGTTTAAGATACAAACAAGCCATCTTTCGGTATCCATACACCTCAGGGGTCAGTGTGTACGTATGCACACTACGAATAGTGGCCGAGCAACACGCTTTTCAGTAGTATCTGGATGATTCACACACCAGGAATTAGCATCGACTCAATTCAACACCAACATATATATTCAAATACCACCTGTGTAAGATTAACTCGTTGTCGAATAAAACCTGGCTAAAAGACCCTTAATTAAACGCCTCCAGCGGAGTTCGGTACTGAACGCAATAAAAGCCGAGCTCAATGGTATCTCGTCAATGATTTCATGACGGCTGGGTATCCCGACTGACACTTGATAGCCCAGAGAACAGAATAATAGCAGACTGGAAACCCCTAGACGACAAGTCTATGAATCGAAACAAAGTTGGTTTGAAACAAAAGAGGGGTATGTGAGTTAACCTTAGAAGCCCCTTTTCAGGAAAAATAAACCGGAAAGGAATATGTACCAGGGGTGGGTGCAGTCTAAAGAAGATGGCCCAGTGGCTGTTATCCGAAATGGTTTGTATCTGTATACCTTGGGAGCTATCTGTTGCCTAGCAAAGAAGGATAATATGCCGACAGGGTTAGTTGCGGAGGGCTATAACAAACTGACGAGCACGTCATGAGCCTCGGGAAGACGGGTCAGAGAAACATATTTTCTTGCCCCTGTGGTTTCATATTAACTGTCTTCAAGGAATCACGAGTATGCTAAGTGAAGCATTAGAAGATTAGTAAGAATTTTAAATCGTGTATACGTACATTGCGTTTGTTATGTACGTTGCTATCCGTATAGTCGTACAGTTGTTCTAAAGTCTAACAGGTGTTTTAGAAGAGAATAGCTGTTCTAAACATGGCAACGGATATTCTAGGAGATGAACAACGAAATAGACGTCTCCGATAAAACACACAAATACGCATAGCCTCCACACAGACACTGAGGCTCAGACGCCTCCGAGACTTCTCCTACAATGAATGAAAACTTCGTTGGTGGCTTTAACACACATTCATATATGATATACACAGATGTAATTTATTTTATAAAAATGTTTACTACTATAGATCAATTCCATATTTGGTACTTTAGTAAAAACGCGGCAACGAACTAAAGCCACAACCCAATAGGATTGCGCTGATTCTGCTCACTGCGCCTCTCACAGCCTCACAGGCCACAGGAGGGCTTTAGTCATTTCAATAAATACATTTACGTTAGAAAGAACCGAAATACGTTTACATTCTACGTTTACTCAAGATGTGCGATGGGGTGCAATAGGTTCAAATATGGGTGCACAATGAATGTCCTGAGGTTCAATATATAACTATACTATAACGTGAAAATACCGTGACCATATACGTTTGCGTTAAGCGTATACGCAAAACTACAATAACGTATTGAAGTTTGCCACAGAACCAGAAGTTTTACCTTTTTTTGCCATAAAAAAACAGTACATATTTATCTCGATACACAGCGAGAAAGAAAATTTAAAAATTGAAGTGAACACCGTGTGTAAAAAATACATAGCTGGTATCGAATGCACCACATCCAATATATTTACATACTTTGCATTTGTACACACTTGATTAGTATATAGTGCTTGTTTGGTATACACCGAAGATATATCTGCGATAATGTATATGATTTAGATAAGAAACTAATAACTGAATACTAGTAGAAGAATGGCAGACAAGAAAGAAGACTCCTTGCTAAATTTCGGCGACTTTGCTGCGTCAACCACGGTATGTGCATCAAAACAGCATTCGAACCATCAGAACGTTGAGTATACTAATATGTTATCGGAAG